ACGCAACAGTATCTAGGCTGGGTTCACATGTAGCAGCCTGTAAGGGTGTTAACCACCTCTCATAAACTTATGCATGTTGTACATGCTCCAGAGTGGCGCAGCGGTCTATGGCACTGCATCTCAGTGCTTGAGGCGTCACTACAGACCCCCTGGTTCGATTCCAGGCTGTATCACAACAGGCCGTGATTGGGAGTCCCATAGGGCAGTGCACAATTGGCCCAGCATTGTCCGGGTTTGGCCGGTGTAGGCCGTCATTGTAAATAAGAATTTGTTCTTAATAGACTTGCCTAATTAAATAAAGATAAAAAGTAAATCTGCCTCTGGAGAAGCTATAGTTTATGGAAAAATAATTTTAAATCTGGGGAAGAAATTGTTACTTCGGAGGTGACTAAGAATATTTGAATACAGATCCCCCCAAAATACTACTTTTTAAAACTATTTGAATACAGATCTCAGACGTGGCTACTTTTTTTCAAAACTATTTGAATACAGATCTGAGCAACTACTTAAATATATATATATTTCAATACTGATAGTTCTAGGAAAGTGACTACTTTTCAGACACTATTGGATTGGCTGCCTTCAACTAGTGGCAGATCTGTGTCTGGAACTGCATGTTGAATATAGAAATTGGATGAATAGAGAACACACAATCTCCTATACTATTCCAATCTATAGTGCCTTCAGAAAGCATTCACATCCCTTGATTATTTTCCAAATTTTTTTGTGTTACAGCCTGAATTTAAAATAGTGAATTTTAGATTTTGTGTCACTGGCCTACACACAATACCCCAAAATATCAAAGTGGAATTATGTTTTTAGAAATGTTTACAAATTAATTACAAATGAAAAGCTGAAATATCTTGAGTCAATAAGTATTCAACCCCTTTGTTATGGGTAAAAATGTGTGTAGCAAGTCACATAATAAGTTGCATGGACTCTGTGTGCAATAATAATGTTTAACATGATTTTTGAATGACTACATCATCTCTGTACCCCACACATACAATTATCTGTAAGGTCCTCAGTCGAGCAGTGAATTTCAAACACAGATTCAACCACAAAGACCAGGGATGTTTTCCAATGCCTCGCAAAGAAGGACACCTATTGGTAGATGGGTAAAAAAAAAACAGACGTTGAATATTTACATTTTACATTTTAGTCATTTAGCAGACGTTCTTATCCAGAGCGACTTACAGTTAGTTAGTGCATACATTTTCATACTCCCTTTGAGCATGGTAAAGTAGTTATTAATTACACTTTGGATGGTGTATCAATACACCCAGTCACTACAAAGAAGGTGCCCTTCCTAACTCAGTTGACAAAGAGGATGGAAACCGCTCAGGGATTTCACCATGAGGCCAATGGTGATTTCAAACCAGTTACAGAGTTAAATTGCTGTGATAGGAGAAAACTGAGGATGGATCAACAACATTGTAGTTACTCCACAATACTAACCAAATTACAGAGTGAAAAGAAGGAAGCCTGTACCGAATAAAAATATTCCAAAACAAGCATCCTGTTTGCAATAAGGCACTAAAGTAAAACTGCAAAAAATTTAGCAAAGAAATTAACTTTATGTCCTGAATACAAAGTGTTATGTTTGGGGCAGATCCAACACAATATATCACTGAGTACCACTCTTCATAATTTCAAGCATGGTGGTGACTGCATCATGTTATGGGTATGCTTGTCATCGACAAGGACTAGGGAGTTTTTTGGGATGAAAATAAATGGAATAGAGCTAAGCACAGGCAAAGTCGTAGAGGAAAACCTGGTTCAGTCTGCTTTCCATCAGACACTGGGAGACAAATCCAACTTTCAGTAGAACAATAACCTAAAATGCAAGGCCAAATACAGTGCCTTCAGAAAATATTCATAGCCTCAAGAATTCAAGATGAAATAAACTGTGTAAGTCAATGTCCCTCAATAGCACAATTCAAATATCATGACCAAATAGTCTCTGACCTGTTCTTTCATACACTCAGTCCATTACTCAAGGCCCAGAGTTTTTCCTAGACAGGACACAAGTTGATTGAGATTTTTGGTTAGAAAATGCTAATATTAGCGGTCGAAATTGCTGCAAACATTTGCACCAACATTGTGGATTGTAGTACTGGCAAGACAAAGCCATTAAACATGAAATGCATTCCATGAAGCATTCCACTCATATCAAACAAAAGAGGGCACAATGTTTGGAACTTTTTCAAATGTAATTGTATAATACATAATGCATTTGTTGCCTGTTGTGTACAGTAAGATCCTACCATTTACCATACAGTAAATGTCTGTAGCCTATAGTGTCAAGTAGCCAGGGGCGGACTAGCCATCTGGCAAATGCCAGATGGGCTGGTCCATTTTTAGTCCACTGGCTAATAATGGGGGCCTTGAGAAGAAAAATGGGCTGGTGTGGGGTCCTCAAGGAAAAAAATGGGTCGGTGTGTTTTAAATGCCAGGGCCGATTTCTGGTCACAGTCAGTAGCTGCCAGTAGCCCACTACAGTCTTACATTTTGCCATCATTCAAATCAAATCAAATCAAATTGTATTTGCCACATACGCCGAATACAACAGGTGTAGACCTTACAGTAAAATGCTTACTTACAAGCCCTTAACCAGCAATGCAGTTTTTAAATGGGACTGACAGCATGACAAGTGCTTGAGACTAGTGTGCTATTGCCACCTACAGTACAACTAGATTTAGGTAAATGAATGACTTTCAGTGGGACAAAAACAATACCACTCACTCACCAAGGAACTCAGAACCACCTATAGTAATATTACATGAACAGTGGGTGGTCCTAACACTACAACTGTGACATGGATATACAGTGGGGGAAAAAAGTATTTAGTCAGCCACCAATTGTGCAAGTTCTCCCACTTAAAAAGATGAGAGAGGCCTGTAATTTTCATCATAGGTACACGTCAACTATGACAGACAAAATGAGAAACAAAAATCCAGAAAATCACATTGTAGGATTTTTAATGAATTTATTTGCAAATTATGGTGGAAAATAAGTATTTGGTCAATAACAAAAGTTTCTCAATACTTTGTTATATACCCTTTGTTGGCAATGACACAGGTCAAATGTTTTCTGTAAGTCTTCACAAGGTTTTCTCACACTGTTGCTGGTATTTTGGCCCATTCCTCCATGCAGATCTCCTCTAGAGCAGTGATGTTTTGGGGCTGTCGCTGGGCAACACGGACTTTCAACTCCCTCCAAAGATTTTCTATGGGGTTGAGATCTGGAGACTGGCTAGGCCACTCCAGGACCTTGAAATGCTTCTTACGAAGCCACTCCTTCGTTGCCCGGGTGGTGTGTTTGGGATCATTGTCATGCTGAAAGACCCAGCCACGTTTCATCTTCAATGCCCTTGCTGATGGAAGGAGGTTTTCACTCAAAATCTCACGATACATGGCCCCATTCATTCTTTCCTTTACACGGATCAGTCATCCTGGTCCCTTTGCAGAAAAACAGCCCCAAAGCATGATGTTTCCACCCCCATGCTTCACAGTAGGTATGGTGTTCTTTGGATGCAACTCAGCATTCTTTGTCCTCCAAACACGACGAGTTTAGTTTTTACCAAAAAGTTATATTTTGGTTTCATCTGACCATATGACATTCTCCCAATCCTCTTCTGGATCATCCAAATGCACTCTAGCAAACTTCAGACGGGCCTGGACATGTACTGGCTTAAGCAGGGGGACACGTCTGGCACTGCAGGATTTGAGTCCCTGGCGGCGTAGTGTGTTACTGATGGTAGGCTTTGTTACTTTGTCCCAGCTCTCTGCAGGTCATTCACTAGGTCCCCCCGTGTGGTTCTGGGATTTTTGCTCACCGTTCTTGTGATCATTTTGACCCCACGGGGTGAGATCTTGCGTGGAGCCCCAGATCGAGGGAGATTATCAGTGGTCTTGTATGTCTTCCATTTCCTAATAATTGCTCCCACAGTTGATTTCTTCAAACCAAGCTGCTTACCTATTGCAGATTCAGTCTTCCCAGCCTGGTGCAGGTCTACAATTTTGTTCCTGGTGTCCTTTGACAGCTCTTTGGTCTTGGTCATAGTGGAGTTTGACTGTTTGAGGTTGTGGACAGGTGTCTTTTATACTGATAACAAGTTCAAACAGGTGCCATTAATACAGGTAACGAGTGGAGGACAGAGGAGCCTCTTAAAGAAGAAGTTACAGGTCTGTGAGAGCCAGAAATCTTGCTTGTTTGTAGGTGACCAAATACTTATTTTCCACCATAATTTGCAAATAAATTCATAAAAAATCCTACAATGTGATTTTCTGGATTTGTTTTTCTCATTTTGTCTGTCATAGTTGACGTGTACCTATGATGAAAATTACAGGCCTCTCTCATCTTTTTAAGTGGGAGAACTTGCACAATTGGTGGCTGACTAAATGCTTTTTTTCCCCACTGTAGTTGTAGTAAAGTCATATTGATTGAACTGCATGCATTGATTCTACTTTTGTAATAACAATAAGAGGATTGTTAGGTGTCATGCACCAAATTATTGGAGGGCCATTGATGGCCAAATTCGATATATTTAAATTAAATAATATCTTACATTTTACATTTAGCTAATTTAGCAGACGCTCTTAGGCAGAGCGACTTACAGTCATTTCATGTAACTAAAGGTTGCTAGGTATCACAGTATTTGTAAAAATCAGTCATTACAAAATCAGTGCTAGTAAAAAAAGACACCTGCAAGGGTTAGTACAAGAAAAGCAAGTGAGGTGTTCATTTGCTTTATTAGGGTGTAGGGGTTCTAGGGGGATAACACTGAAGGAGCCTAAATGGGTCTGTTTATAAGTAACTAACATCACTTTTACATCACAGATTTACATAACTTTTTGTGTAGTGACACTGTTTTGTGATCTCTAACCTTTGGCCAAAATTGCGAAATGAAGATCATTTATTAACATTTAGTATAAAGGAGCATCTTTCTCAGATTTGTCTTTTCAGAGCACTCTGCCATACAATAGGTCCACATCGGCAATTACAGCACAACAATAAAATAAAATAAATACTATAAAAACATTGTGATGAATGAAGTTGAGAGGCGATCAGAGGAAATGCTTGAAGGATGCTGCTCAGATACACAGAATGGAGAATGGTGAGCACTACAGTTTTCATTAATTGCTTTGAGCTAGATGTTTTGGTAACACTTTATATTACAGTGCCCTTATTACAGTGGAATTATTCCTGTAAGTACAGTGCAACAGTATTGTAATTACTAATTGTTATACTGTACTTGCACTGTATTGTAAAATGTAACTGATTTTCTTGACGTGACCTTCAACTGAAAGTCACTGGATGTGTGTACACTACTTTAACATAATTACTGTGTCATTAACATTGTACCATGTTATTTCTTAGTAAATGGCTGATTATTTATGTGCTGTAATATATAGTGCTATTGCTACGGCCCTTATAGAGGCCTTGACAGAATGCTTTTGTTCACAGTTTTAGATTCCATCCACAGTCATTAGACACCATCCAACCAACCAAACAGACAGTAGTTGTTGGAGGGAAAGCATAGGGGATGATGGCCACCACTCAGTTAATGAATAATGTAGAACAAATATTAGTGGGGCTTACGTTTCCCATCAAGGCACTCTTGAAGAATGAACAAAGGTGCTTCTTGATTTAAATACACATAAGTTATTTGGATGACTGCTTGCACAGTGTGAGAGGGGAATTAAACTAATGTATTGTTTTATATTCACAATCGCCACAAATATTTGAATGAATGCATGTACAGTCTCAAAGGGAAATTGTTTATTATTCACAATTGTCAGGGTGAGAAGCCAAAGCATCTATGTCATGTTCTCAATCCCTTGTTTTTGAGACTGCCGCTATTTGTGGAGGCAACAAGTGCATTGTTTTGGTGTGAAAGCACTGACATTTACTGCACTTCCCCAACATAAATGTATGATTAGGTTCACTGCATTACCACTTGACATTCAGAATAGTTCATAGTAAAATAAAATAGCAGCAATTGTTGATCATGCTGATATGTTGAAATACTACATAATGTACAGCATATTTTAGAAAGTTGGAATCAGTGGACTTTGGTATGAGGAAATTAAAAAATATATAGAGATTGATACATCTGTCAAACTAGATGTAACATCATCACGCTCCATTACATTTCAAAGGCTTTGCAAGTGATGTACATTAGATGTATTATGCCCCCTTTTCCTATTAATTTAAGTGTTCAAGTTCTGTCACTCCTCTATCCTCCATCCACTGTAAAGTTATAATGCAGAGAGTTAATTTGTTCACATTCCACAAATCCATGCCCCTTCAGCATTCAAAAGAAGCCCACCTGCTGTTGCCGCTTTCACAGAGCAAATCCCCTCCTCTTCCCCTCACTGAAGGAGCCAGTGTTGCCTTGACTCAATAGCTCCGCCTCAAACACACAGATGCATGAACACCGACACACACACACACACTCCAAACTCTCCACATGGGTTCACTCATTGTTAGTTCTGGAAAGGGCATTTGACAGGGAGAAACGCAGGTTCTAGATTTGCTTCTAATGAAAGGGACCAGAACAAGTCTTCTTTAATGGAGAAGTAGACTACTACAACAGACTAAAGAACTACAACTTCCTCCTTAAGGTACTTTCTCTCTCTCTCTCTCGCGCGCGCGCTCTCTATTCACCTCTCTTTCTATCAGGAAACCTTTTACTTAGACTGTTTATCACTGTTTGTATTTGAAATCTAGCAGACTTGGCAGGCGGGGGCTGTGATAACACCTAGACATCTCCCTAGTTGTATAAAGAGACAGAGACAGACATGGGGCTTCAGTCAGTGGTAGCTCTCTCTCGCTCTCTCTCTTTTTCTCGCTCTCTCTCTATCTGCAGTCTGTCACACTTGTTGTAGCTGCAGAATGTAGGCCAAAGGTTACAGACTGGAGGCTCAGCAGTGCCAGTGAGAGCAGCAGTGTCTTCCTGTTTTGTGCAACTGTACAGCATGTATAAGTCCTCTTATCGCATGCTTTCGATTTGAAAACAGAATGACTGGTTCTTGAGGTAGATATTATTTTCATAATTCATGCTACAAATCTTAAGAGAAAAAAAAGAAACACTACAGTATGTTAAAATATTAGACACAGAGACTACTCAGAAATGAACAGTGAACATAGAAAATCGAATGTATTTATAAAGCCCTTTTTACATCAGCAGACGTCACAAAGTGCTATACAGAAACCCAGCCTAAAACCACAAACAGCAAGCAATGCAGATGTAGCAGCACGGTGGCTAGGAAAAACTCCCTAGAAAGGCAGGAACCTAGGAAGAAACCTAGAGAGGAACCAGGCTCTGAGGGGTGGCCAGTCCTCTTCTGGCTGTGCCGGGTGGAGATTACAAGAGTACATGGCCATTAAAGCCAGAACGTTCTTCAAGATGTTCAAACATTCATAAATAATAATCATAGTGGTTGTAGAGGGTGCAACAGGTCATCACCTCAGGAGTAAATGTCAGTTGTTTTTTCATAGCCGAGCATTCAGAGGTCGAGACAGCAGGTGCGGTAGAGAGAGAGAGAGAGGGGGGAGGGAGAGAGAGAGATAGAGAGAGAAATAGAGAGAGAGAGAGAGAGAGAGAGAGAGAGAGAGAGAGAGAGAGAGAGAGAGAGAGAGAGAGAGAGAGAGAGAGAGAGAGAGAGAGAGAACAGGTCAGGGTTCCATAGTCGCAGGCAGAACAGTTGAACTGGAGCCGCAGCATGACAAGGTGGACTGGGGACGGGGACAGCCAGGAGTCATCAGGCCAAGTGAAGACTGGAGGTCAGCATGATGAACAAAACTACCCAATAATCCATGTAGCCTAATTCACACACACAATCAAACATGTTTTTTCTTGTATACTGAGTATATCATGTACAATTCTAATTTACATGCTTTGTTTAACTGATTGAATATTTTTCTTATATTTGTGGTGTGGTTTTCGTATAAGCCATTTTGGGCTTCCAACCTCACCTGCACACTATTTTGACCAATTCTATCTGTACTGTTTTGTCTTTTACTTCTTTTCTTTGGTGCAAATAAATAAAACCTAAAGGCCAGGTAGTCCCGAGGCATGGTCCTAGGGCTCAGATCCTCTGAGAGAGAGAGAGAGAGAGAGAGAGAGAGAGAGAGAGAGAGAGAGAGAGAGAGAGAGAGAGAGAGAGAGAGAGAGAGAGAGGGGACAATTATAAGGAGCATACTTAAGTTCACACAGGACACTAGATAAGACAGGAGAATTTCACCAGATAAGACTGACCCTAGCCCCCTGGCACATAGACTATTGCAGCATAGATACTGGAGGCTGAGACAGGGGGAGGTCGGGGGACACTGTGGCCCTGTCTGACGATACCCCCAGACAGGGCCAACCAGGCAGGATATAACCCCATCCACTTTGCCAAAGCACAGCCCCCACACCGCTAGTGGGATTTCAATAGACCACCAACTTACTACCCTGAGATAAGGCTGAGTATAGCCCAAAAACCTGACCTGAAAAAGATATCTATGTTGCAATTAACGTTCATATTTAGCTGTAGTAACACTCTATATTTATCTTATTGTGCCCATAAATTGTTACATCTTCTCTATCGACTCTGTCATTCATTTAAAACAGGCTGTACTGTATTGAACCAAGCAATATTAGATTATCAAAGATATACAGTCAGTACCTACTCTTAGTATCACAAACCGTACCCTGGCTCTGGCGGGTTGTCTTCTGGGTGTCTAGTAGTGTCACAGTAGTTTCCTCCTCTGATGCATGCCCAGGAAGTTCCTCATACTTTAAATAGTAAAGGCAAAGGTAACTTTTCAGAACACATTGTCCTAGCAACAGACCTTACGGTTGTGCTTCTTATAACTGTATAAGTTCTGGGTGTTCATTTTCAGAAATCACCATAATGGTAGTAGCAGCAGCAGCACATATTTTCCACTATATGTGTCCCACTCCTACAGGGATACTAGGCAAGGACACAAAGGCAACATTGATGACAGAATTACACTAGTCCCACCAAGCAGTGCTGATCCCCTCCTACTCTAATGCAACAAGACTGGTGCCACAGTGTGGGATTTGAACATTCATACAGTACAGTCGGAACGTATTCAGACCCCTTGACTTTTTCACATTTTGTTACGTTACAGCCTTATTCTAAAATGGATTAAATCGTTTTTTCCCCCTCATCAATCTACACACAATACCCCATAATGAAAAAGCAAAAACAGGTTATTAGAAATTGTTGCAAATGTATTGAAAAAAATGGAAATATCACATTTACACAAGTATTCAGACCCTTTACTCAGTACTTTGTTGAAGCACCTTTTGCAGCGATTACAGCCTTCTGCACACCTGTATTTCGGGAGTTTCTCCCATTCTTCTCTGCAGATCCTCTCATGCTCTGTCATGTTGGATGGGGAGTGTCGCTGCACAGCTATTTTCAGGTCTCTCAAGAGATGTTTGATCGGGTTCAAGTCCGGGCTCTGGCTGGGCCACTCAAGGACATTCAGAGACTTGTCCCGAAGCCACTCCTGCATTGTCTTGGCTGTGTGCTTAGTGTTGTTGTCCTGTTGGAAGGTGAACCTTTGCCCCAGTCTGAGGTCCTGAGCGCTCTGGAGCAGGTTTTCATCAAGGATCTCTCTGTACTTTGCTCCGTTCATCTTTCCCTCGATCCTGACTAGTCTCCCAGTCCCTACCGCTGAAAAACATCCCCACAGCATGATGCTGCCACCACCATGCTTCACTGTAGGGATGGTGCCAGGTTTCCTCCAGACGTGACGCTTGGCATTCAGGCCAAAGAGTTCAATCTTGGTTTCATCAGACCAGAGAATCTTGTTTCTCATGATCTGAGAATCCTTTAGGTGCCTTTTGGCAAACTCCAAGTAGGCTGTCATGTGCCTTTTACTGAGGAGTGGCGTCCGTCTGGCCACTATACCATAAAGGCCTGATTGGTGGAGTGTTGCAGAGATGGTTGTCCTTCAGGAAGGTTCTCCCATCTCCACGGAGGAACTCTGGAGCTCTGTCAGAGTGACCATTGGGTTCTTGGTCATCTCCCTGACCAAGGTCCTTCTCCCCCAATTTCTCAGTTTGGCCGGGCGGCCAGCTCTAGGAAGAGTCTTGGTGTTTCCAAACTATGTTCTTGGGGACCTTCAATGCTGCAGAAATTTTTTGGTACCCTTCCCCAGATCTTTGCCTCGACACAATCCTGTCTCGGAGCTCTACGGACAATTCCTTCGACCTCATGGCTTGGTTTTATATCTGAAATGCACTGTTATCTGTTGGACCTTATATAGACAGGTGTGTTCCTTTCCAAATCATGTCCAATCAATTGAATTTACCACAGTTGGACTCCAATCAAGTTGTAGAAACATCTCAAGAATGATCAATGGAAACAGGATGCACCTGAGTTAAATTTCGAGTCTCATAGCAAAGGGTCTGAACACTTATGTAAATAAGGTATTTTTGTTTAAAAATATATATATATAAATTAGCAAAAATGTAAAAAAATCTGTTTTCACTTTGTCATTATGGGGTATTATGTGTAGATTGATGAGGAAATTTTTTATTTGAATTAATTTTAGAATAAGGCACCAACATAACATAATGTGTGAAAAAGGAAAGGGGTCTAAGTACGTTCCGAATGCACTGTACACATTGCCAAGCAGTGAGATGCCGCCCTGGCTCTTCACAATACCAGATTCAATTGGAATCTCACCGCTTGTGTGGCCAATGCCAAATATATTGGCTATTCCCAGATAATTAGGCTACTCCCGATACTCAGGCTACTCCTAGAATAGACCCTAGTATGGATCAGCGTACAGGAACCGTGACTTTTTTCAGGATCAATAAAGAATAAAAATCTATGTGTTCTCATAATGTCTTGTGTAGTTCAGTTGGTAGAGCATGGCACTTGCAATGCCAGGGTTGTGGGGTCGATTCCCACAGGGGAACAGTACAAACATATGTGTATTCACTACTGTAAGTTGCTCTGGATAAGAGTGTCTGTTAAATTACTAAAAATAAGACACAATACAACAGTTGATTCCACTGTTATAAGTCAACATTGCTGTAATTTACCTTCAGAACAGTACATTTTAACAGTGCCCCACTAATTTCCATTGAAAGGAGGGGTTTTTACGCACATCCAAAGTAATAACAGGAGCTGGACAAAAGGAAGATCCAATTTATTGAATAAAAGGGGCTCATGTTTTGCTGCACTGGACCTTCCCTTTTTCCTCCTATTAAATTTTTCTTGACAGGTCATATGTAGCTGGTCATATGTAGCTGGTCATAAGTAGCTGGTCGTATGTAGCTGGTCATATGTAGAAGGTTATATGTACTGTAGCTGGTCATATGTAGAAGGTCATATGTAGCTGGTCATATGTAGCAGTCATATGTAGCTGTTTGCTGTGTGTCACTGTTCACTACATAAAAACCAACTGCTTTGTCCATATACTGGCTTCATAGCATACAGACTATGTTAGATAAATGTGTGTTGACTGCATAAAGCCTTTGTCTTTGTCTCCCTCAGTGTCATGGCGAAGCATAATGATCCCGAATTGAGGTTCAATAAGTTTGCCCAGCAGGAGATGGGTCTGGTCCAGCCTGTCCCTGTGCCAAGCACCCAGACCAGGGGACAGTGGTCCAGTAAGCTGGAGTTCCTCCTGGCTGTGGCCGGACAGATCATAGGCCTGGGGAATGTATGGAGGTTCCCATATCTGTGCTACAAAAATGGAGGAGGTGAGTATCACATCACATCTTTACATGGTCATACATTTAAACACACATTAAATGTATGGCGAGGTGAGTCTTTGGCTTTTACATCATCAATGCAAAAGAGCTAGTCACTTCATATAACTTCATTGTGGTGGAGACAGTACAGAATCGTTATTTTCATATCTTAGGCTAATATTGAAATCACACAATGGCAAGAAGGTAATGGAATAATCATTAAGAGATGTGTAAACATGGCTTGATATAAGCATATCTGTGGTTGTTATAATATTATAGGGATATTGACACAATAGGGCTAGATGTTATCTGGCAGGCACTATCATAAAAACAACAGTGCGTGCCTGGGTGCACAGAAGGCACCAAAACCTTCTAAGTGCTTCCAGAATCTCTATACTGATATGCACATCACTACTTTACAATGTTTTTTTTATGCTCATTTCTAAATATGCTATGTAGAACAAACATGCCTCTCAGTTGAGATGATTGAGATGGCTTCGGGGATACATTTTTGTTTTGTGAAACCACATTCACGTGAAGTGAAACATGAAGTTATGGTCTTGGGCCATATGTTTACTTGTGGTTTAACTTGTCTTGTTCTTAAGGGGTGTTCTTCATCCCTTATGTGCTCTTCCTGTTCACCTGTGGCATTCCACTCTTCCTCCTGGAGACCTCCCTGGGCCAGTACACCACGCAGGGCAGCATCACCTGCTGGAGGAAGATCTGCCCCCTGTTTGAAGGTAAATACCAGGGCTCATATTCATAAAGCGTCATTGCGTAAGACTGCTGATCTAGAATAAGGTCCCCTCTGTCCATAAGCTTAGTCATTATGATCTAAAAGGCTAATCTGATCTAAGATCAGCCATCCTACTCTGGTATGCTTTATGAATGCGGCCACGGGGTCTTGTTGTACGTATTGCATCCATATTAGGAATTGAGTTGTCAGAGTTTGCCTGACCATTGATATCATTTACTTCCTAATATGGATGCCATATTGGTGAAATAGACATGAGTGCCTGATAGCTAGAAGGAAGAAAGGCTATAGCCTTCAGATAAGTGAAGATGTCCTAGTACTGTAAACTGTGCCCAAAGAAAAGACAACATTCAGAGGGACTGTAGACCAAACTTTGTCTGTTTGTTCTATTTGTACTCAGGAAAACTCCTTGCTGCAATATCCAAACTTGAGAAAGTAGCGTTGTAATCCAAAACAATGTCAATACAATTTAAATTGGTATTCAGCACATAAACTCAAGGTTTCTGTCTGGAGCCTTTGTCAAGAATGTGCTGGTTGAGGTTGACATGTATCCATATAGGCACAGTACATGCATGCTTTTCCTTCTGTAAATGATATTGCACTATTGTATTTGTAAAAGTAAATCCACCATGATTTTAATCACATTGCTTTACCAGTTTGAAATAATATAAGGATACATTCTATATTGCTTGTAATGGCACTCTGGGGATGACTGGTCTGTTTCTGACCTGATGTAACTTCAAAAATGGAAAAGGGATCAAAGTAACAAGACACTTCATTCAAGTTATTGGATGAATCTTGGATTAAACATCAACATTATTACACAGGCTCACACTAATGCATGAGCTATTACATGATAGAGTAAGTGATTGTCCTTCCTGTGACATGACACGTGCATTCAGGACACTTGTCCTGTGTTCAAACACTCACGTCTATCTTGTTGCAATGGCACAATAACTTATTAATCAGGGCTGGTGACTTTGAAAGGAGTCTAATCCACATCAAAGATATACACAGTTACAGAAGAAGCATTTATTTTCCGAACATTTACATCTCCATATTTGTCCGTAAAATCTTCTTCTTCTTCTTCTTCTTCTTCTTCTTCTTCTTCTTCTTCTTCTTCTTCTTCTTCTTCTTCTTCTTCTTCTTCTTCTTCTTCTTCTTCTTCTTCTTCTTCTTCTTCTTCTTCTTCTTCTTCTTCTTCTTCTTCTTCTTCTCCTCCTCCTCCTCCTCTTCCTCCTCCTCCTCAGGACTGGGTTATGGTAGTCAGGTGGTGGTTCTATATTCCAGCACCTACTACATCATCATCCTAGCGTGGGCCTTCTTCTACCTCTTCTCCTCATTCAGCTCTGAGCTCCCCTGGGCTAGATGTAGAAACAGCTGGAACACAGGTACGTACTTCAGTCCAGCCAGTCTGCTTGTGCTATCATACCAACTGCTTGTCAATCATTGTCATGCCAAACCTGTTTGGATTGACAAGGACAGAAATGGAGTTGGCATTGCCAAGAGCACAAACAGATCTGGGATCAGGTTGTTGATGGTGACGTACCTTTGTCATGCTCAAATGATAGATAGTATCTTACATTTATGGACACCACTTCAAACTGAGATATTCCGTTTTTGACAAGTGATTTGATTAATGTTTTAAAAAATTAAATGTCTCCTTATCCAGGAAAGATTCAGAGAGTTCTGAGACTTGCTTGTTATTGTGTAATTTCCTCCTAACCAGCAACCTGCATGGAGTTTGACAGAAGAGTAGTGGGACATCTAAACTGGACAGTAGCAGGAAACGCAACATCGCCAGTGAGAGAGTTCTGGGAGTGAGTATACAAAATTGTTCCAATTGATCAACTCCTTATTAAGTCCTTACAGATGGAAATAATGGCTATGTGCCTTAGGAGGCGCTGAGAGAATGGTGAAAAGCAAGTGGTGGGATTGTAACTGAAAATATGATTTTCAGGAGAAGAGTTTTGAATCTAACAGACAGTCCAGACAAGCTAGGCAATGTTCGCTGGGAGCTGGCTCTGTGTCTTCTACTGTCATGGATTCTCTGTTACTTCTGTGTCTGGAAAGGAGTGAAGTCTACTGGGAAGGTAAGGTGGGATCTCTGCCATTCAGCCTGATGACACCATTAATACTGTAGAGCCAAAGACTGAGGGAATGTAATGCTGGTCTGGTCCCCCCTCCCCTCAGGTGGTCTATTTCACTGCCACCTTCCCCTATTTGATGCTGGTGGTGTTGCTAGTCCGTGGACTCACACTGCCGGGGGCAATAGATGGTATCAAGTTCTACCTCTACCCAGACCCAGCCCGCCTCGCTGACCCACAGGTAGGAACACACTTCAATGTATAATTTGAGTTCAGGTGTAACAAAAACCATTCGTACATACTGTAGTGATTCGTCTCTACCTGTGTTTGAACCCTGGTCTACATGACCAAGGGCAGCAACCATAACCACTGGGCCAAGACACTTAACTCCCTTGGAGGAACAGTTTGCGATCTTAAGAACATCAGATTTGTTACAATATCAATACCTGATAACAATAAGAGGAATCTGAATTTCAAAGCAAATGCATTTCCTGTTGACCTATTATAAGGTCAAAATTGGTACCATTTGAATTCGCCTCTGATACCCTGGGATGAGACTAGTGTATCGAAACTCTGAAACTATGAAGACTATTGTGTCTCTCTCTGGTGTGTCTCACAGGTGTGGATGGATGCTGGAACACAAATCTTCTACTCCTATGCTATCTGCATCGGCTGTCTGACTGCTCTTGGCAGCTACAACAAGTATGACAACAACTGTTACAAGTGAGTGGAAGAATGAAGTACACTGACAGTAAATGTGCCTTGCTAGATCAAATGTGCAGGCAGAACGTTTTCTCTTGCCTGCAAAAACATCCCCTGTGCACATAATTATTGGGTTGGGTAGTCCCCTGTAGCTCAGTTGGTAGAGCATGGTGCTTGCAACACCAGGGTTGTGGGTTTGTTTCCCACGGGGGGCCAGTATGAAAATGTATGCACTCAATAACTGTAAGTTGCTCTGGACAAGAGTGTCTGCTAAATGACTGAAATGGTAGGGTGTCTGGAAAGATTGATGATCTCCATATTGTAATTCATTTGGATGCCTTTGTGTTGTGACTAACAGGGAAGTTAATCTATTTTTAGGGACTGTGTGTACCTGTGCCTTTTGAACAGCGGAACCAGCTTTGTGGCTGGCTTTGCTATCTTCTCTGTACTGGGCTTCATGGCTTATGAACAAGGGACAGACATCTCAACCGTGGCCGAATCAGGTAAGTGTTGCAGCAGTGAGATATGAATGAATGAATTAATAAATGAATGAATAAACAAATGAACAAATGAACAAACCCTTTTATGTTCTGCTTTGTTACAAGACAGGTGTCTTAGCATCTAACTATTCCCTCTTCCCTGCCCCTGAGAGTTCAGTAATGAGTTTACCTGTGTTGCTGCACACAGGTCCTGGCCTGGCGTTCATCGCCTACCCTCGTGCCGTGGCCATGATGCCAGTACCCCAACTCTGGGCCATCTTCTTCTTCATCATGATCATCCTACTGGGGTTAGACAGTGAGGTGTGTTAGAGTGGCCCTGAAGGCCTATGAAATATTTGCTTAGTGACGGATAATTACATAACTTACAATAGATGCTACAATCATCACTAAACCCAATGGACGTGAAGCTGTGAAGGAGTAGCTAGTATTTCAAAGAAGAGAATTTCCACTAAACTTCCCCATCATCTCTTCTTCAGTTTGTAGGTCTGGAGGCTTTGATAACAGCTATCTCAGACATGTATCCCTCCTTCTTCCTGGTTGGCCATCGGCGTAAAATCCTCCTCATCATCATCAGTGTGGGTAGCTTCTTCATCGGCCTGGTCATGGTCACAGAGGTGAGAGGTCATTTGAAGTCATCATTCTATAAGGATATAGGATATAAAATATAGAATTTCAAGGCCATCGTTATTAGATCAATCATGACAGTAACCAGATATATGATTGATAATCTACCTCTCAAGTAATCTGTTTCAACATATCCCTGTGTTTCAACATACCCCCCTTAAGGGAACATAACTCATTCCGCAGAATTGTTCCGTAAGCGATTGGACCGCTGGACACACTTACGATCATTGTCTGAGTGTTTTGTACACCATGGAATTAGATTATAGTCTTATTGTTGTGCTCAGTGAGACTGTACTTTATACTTTCTTTCTCTTTCTTCCCCTCCTCTATTTGCAGGGAGGCCTGTATATCTTCCAGCTGTTTGATTACTATGCCTGCAGTGGGATGACTCTCCTTCTCTTCGCTATACTACAGTCAGTGTGTATCAGCTGGGTTTATGGTGAGTTAGCCCTGCCTGCTCCCAGTGCAGTTTCTAGGTATATTAGAGGCCGCTTAGGGCCGCAACCACTTTTTTTCAAAGTTAGTCGGGGTCTCAACTTACTGTTAGTTAAGATGGTAGAATACACAACGTGACATTTTTAAATGTGCTAGTGCATCCGCAGTTTTCCTCTTGTTATGTCAGTCACTGACAGTCACCCAATTAGCCCATATCAGCTAATATGTTATAGATTGCAAGGTAAGTTAGTCTAGCCGGCTATCTAAACCTTGTATTATATTACAAACATTTATGAAGGCGTTTTAATGTAAGTTATTGTAAAGTGTTACCGCTATCATTGTAGGACATCATAGTAAAAGACGGTCAGTGCTATCTGGAATCTTTGGGACGTCCCTACCTTAAACCCTAACCTTAACCCCTACCCTTACCCTAACCATGAGCCTTACCTTAACCCTAACCATTTTAAATGTCAACTTCAATGGGGTAGGAACGTCCCAAGGATCCCGGATAGCAAGGAGCGGTAAAAGACCCTGCATGGCCCCATTCCATCAATCACAGATAATCAATCACAGAAACCCTAATTGCAGGTCAGCTTCCCTCAGGATGTTTCTGTTCGAGGTGTTTATGGCGTTATCCAAGCTGTTCCTCTGGCAGACATTGTCACTTTGGACATTGATGTGAAACGACACCTCGTTACCTTGGGACTATAAGGTTCTATCTGACATGTTGGTCAAAAATTAGTTATTCTCATGGAGTTGCTTTTTAGGTGGTCCTAAAATATGTCAAGGACCGAGTTTGGGAAACCCTGCCTTAGAGATCTTGTCCAGGTTTCCTAATCTGCAATTGTTTGAACCTGTCTGTAACTTGGTGGTTTGAGAATGTTTACCTGGGTATTTGACAGACCAACTGGGTTTTTGACAGGGTATTTGACAGACCAACTGACCAAACCCTTTTCTTGACTGCTGTGATTTTGAGTTCCTGTTGATATGCTTACTCCACAGGTGCAGACCGTCTGTACGATAATATAGAGGACATGATCGGTTATCGACCATTACCCCTCATTAAGTACTGTTTGAAGTATGTTACTCCAGTCATCTGCACTGTAAGTTTGACTTCTTTACACCCCACTCTCAACAGCAAATTAATTTGTTATTTTTCCAATTATAGTTATAGTAAACATGATGTTGATGTCACAGTAATACAAGTGATTTACAGACAACCAAAAGTTAATAAGTTGACAATACAGAGAAATAGAAATCAAATGGTGTCTATGTGTAACCTATGTAATGTAGATCATCCTAACTTTATGTTCATTATAAATGCTTCACCAGAAGCCTGACCTAAATGTACTGGAGAAACCATAACCTTGTTCTTGACCTTATCTTGTTCATCTCTGTCCTCACTCAACCCTCACTGTTACCCTACTATGTTATAATTAGTACAATGCTATCGGAAAAGACATTGTGTTCTTCAATGTTTATTATACAACCTCCTACCATATCTTTTGTTCTAGGCTACATTAGTCTTCTCCTTGATCAAGTTTACCCCGCTGAAGTTCAACAACACCTTTCAGTATCCTTGGTGGGGTTACGCCATTGGCTGGTGGTTCACTCTCTCCTCCACACTCATGGTTCCGCTATGGATGGTGTACATCGTGAGCATCACTCCTGGTACACTGCGACAGGTAAATAGTGACATCATTTATTACGTTTCTATAGAGTTTCACAGTGCTTGACTTGGGCAGGAGCTGAGTACCGGCACCTAAAATGTTCAACTGCTTGAGATCCTGTTCCTCTTATGGAATATTAGCTCAAAAGTATTGTGGAGCTCCTGCACCTAAATATAAACAGTACCGGCACACAACATGAGTACCGGCACCTGTTTCAGCCCAAGTCAAGCACTGGAGTTTCATAACAGAAAAGCATCTTAAAGTGCTCCAAAAGCAACAAAAAAAATAGCAATATATCATGGGTAGCCTAACTATTGCTAGCTACGTAGGTCGACCGATAGAGGCTAAGTCTTTGAGTACATCCTCCAAAGATGGAGCGATGGTCATGAGAGGCAATGGTTAATTTCTCACTATCAATTCCAAACTTCAGATCTTTTAAAAGGTGGCAGATACCACTTTTGTTGTTATCGCTAGTTATGTCTCTATTTATACAATGATCAGAACCATAACCCAAACCTCATTTACTCCCCATTACACACTGATGGTGTTGTTTCTTCTACCAACTAAGAAAAGAAGACAAACAAACAATGCTCTGCAAACATCACCAGTTATTGTACGTCTCATTCCTTTGGTGGTTTCTCTTTGAAATGCTCCTCTGTCCTCTCTCTTATTCCTCAGAGACTGTCCATCCTCACCACGCCCTCAGAGGATCTCCCCATGACCAAGGCCCAGAAGAAGGCCCTCCTGGCCAAGCAGTCAGAGAAGGACAGACCCCTGGTGGACATGGAGATACCAGCCTGGGGCAACATCCTCCTTGACAGAGACACTGGCCCCCTGTAGACTCTCTCGCTCAGCCATCATCTCTACAGGACTAGAGATAAGCAGGTCCAGCAAGTCTCTCACTCTCCCAAAGGTCCTGACATAAACAATACATATACTTTCCGTAGTGTAACAGAGGCTTATGTGACCCTTCACTTGGTCTGAGTGGGTTAGAAAAGTATACTACAGAATACAATCCACCCCATGCCTTTTTATAATAAAAAAATAATATGCCATTTAGAAGACTCTTTTATCCAAAGCGACTTACAGTCATGCGTGCATACATTTTTTTTTTTGTGTATGGGTGGTCCCGGGGATCGAACCCACTACCTTAGCGTTACAAGCGCCGTGCTGTACCAGCTGAGCTACAGAGGACCTTTTTCTTGGGAGGGCAATGTGGGCAAGTGTTTCCAAAACACACACTACTTCCTGTATGTAGAGCTGATGAGACGTAGAGGCACTGGATCTGGGAAAGTCTTGATGTGGAAAGAGAGATGGGCCATTCTGTTTGGTCTAGAAAACACTACCTAGAATTACTAGAATTACAGGTCAATCTGACTGACTCATGTTAGAATGCAGAGAAAGCCTCTGAAGTGAGATATTGAGTAAGGTTCGGCACAAAAGATGGACCTTTGAAGTTGTGCTTTAACCAGGACTTGGGTGATGGAAGACACAGTATTTCAGAGAAATGGATGAATGGTTCAGACACCTGTCACACCACATGGTGGAAACAAAAACATGACGGTCATGCTATTGGTCCCGGTTGGTTAACTGAGTCTGTATATACAAGTGAACAAACACTTTTTAAAGAGAAAGGTCATCTTTGATTTGGCTAGGTTTAATAATCAAACATGCTACTAATTTCTTAAGACTTTGTGAAGTATGACATTTGTGAAAATATCGATGGTTGGCGAGAAGGGATTGTGTAGATGTATATACAGGGGCTTGCGAAAGTATTCAACCCCTTGGCATTTTTCCTATTTTGTTGCCTTACAACCTGGAATTAAAATTGATTTTTGGGGTTTGTATCATTTGATTTACACAACATGCCTACCACTTTGAAGATGCAAAATATTTTGTTTTGTGAAACAAACAAGAAATAAGACAAAAAACTTGAGCGTGCATAACTATTCACCCCCCCCCCCCCCCCCCGCAGGTGTACAGCAACCACCACCCTGCTTCACTGTGGGGATGGTGTTCTTGGGGTGATGAGAGGTGTTGGGTTTGCGCCAGACATAACGTTTTCCTTGATGGCCAAAAAGCTACATTTTAGTCTCATCTGACCAGAGTATCTTCTTCCATATGTTTGGGGAGTCTCCCACATGCCTTTTGGCGAATTTTTTTCTTTAAGCAGTGGCTTTTTTTTGGCCACTCTTCTGTAAAGCCCAGCTCTGTGGAGTGTATGGCTTAAAGTGGTCCTATGGACAGATACTCCAATCTCTGCTGTGGAGTTTTGCAGCTCCTTCAGGGTTATCTTTGGTCTCTTTGTTGCCTCTCTGATTAATGCCCTCCTTGCCTGGTCCGTGAGTTTTGGTGGGCGGCCCTCTCTTGGCAGGTTTGTTGTGGTGCCATATTCTTTCCATTTTTTAATAATGGATTTAATGGTGCTCCGTGGGATATTAAAAGTTTAGGATTTTTTTTTATAACCCAACCCTGATCTGTACTTCTCCACAACTTTGTTCCTGACCTGTGCTCGTTGGTCTTCATGGTGCCGCTTGCTTGGTGGTGCCGCTTGCTTGGTGGTGCTGCTTGCTTGGTGGTGCCCCTTGCTTAGTGGTGTTGCAGACTCTGGGGCCTTTCAGAACAGGTGTATATATACTGAGATCATGTGACACTTAGATTGCACACAGGTGGAATTTATTTAACTAATTATGTGACTTCTGAAGGTAATTGGTTGTACCAGATCTTATTTAGGGGCTTCATAGCAAAGGGGGTGAATACATATGCACGCACCACTTTTCCAATTTGGACCATTTTGTGTATGTCCATTACATGAAATACAAATACAAATCCATTTAAATTACAGGTTGTAATGCAACAAAATAGGAAAAACACCAAGGGGGATGAATACTTTTGCAAGGCACTGTATAGTAGAAACACTGTTCAATACTGTGATAGGATTTGTTGCCAATATCAATACAATCATCAAACCTTGTGCCATGCTTTATATGTCAATTTTCCACCCTTATTTTTTGGAGTACTATAAATAAAAAGTGTAATTCGCTGCAGAAATCTCTTCCGATATTCAGACGTAACATTCATCTGAGACCTGGGCTCGTATTCATAAAGCGTCCTAGAGTAGAAGTGCTGATCTAGGATCATAGAAAAGGCTAAACTGATCCAAGATAAGTGCTCCTACTCTGAGGTAATTGAACAGAGACATCCACATTCCACAGACTTTAAATACGTTCTTCCCAGAGGGTACAGATTGTGTTATATAGCCGAGCTGAAAACTAATACAGGAACAATGCCCTTCTATGAATTACTGGTAAGACCAGTAGGTAACAGCAGTTATCATTAACAGCCAGTTCAGGCTAAACCAACACAGAGCACACCCCACCTGCATTGGTGTCTGAGGTGAATTTAGCCTGATATGAAAATGAATTTTAGATGGTTGTTTGTACAATATCTATATTCATCCTTTAATGAAGTATTATGATCTGTATTACAGTGTACAAATGGCTCTGATGATTGCTGACCAAAGGCGGTGGCAGCTCCAGCTCTACTATCCCTGATGACAGTTTGTGTTTTTTCATTCATAGATACCATAACGACCCTCAGTGTAGCAGGTTAGGGTGATAATAATGTTTCAAGATTTGGACATATTATTGTTGTTCTCATGATTATTTTACACAATTCCCCAGCTACACATGACGTATTCCACTAGTATTTGACATTGTGGTCCATTGATTGGTTGTGTCATTCCACATGTGTCAGGCTATCTATCATCTGGTGTGCTTCAGCAACTTATAATACTAGTTCTAACAGAGGTTCTAAACTCCACTGAGTTTAAATACTAGGGGCTCTATTCAATCTTTAAAGCTGAAGTGTTACAGATTCCGCGATAGAAAAAGGTCATTTCCGATTGGGCCGACATATACATGAATTCAGAAAGTATTCAGACCCCTTGACTTTTTCCACATTTTGTTACATTACAGCCTTATTCTAAAATTGATTAAATAAATAAAAATTCTCATCAATCTACACACAATACCCCATAATGACAAAGCAAAAACAGTTTTTTTGAAATGTTTGCACATTTATAAAAAAAAATATTTAAAAAATACCTTATTTACATAAGTATTAAGACCCTTTGCTCTGAGACTCAAAATTTTGCTCAGGTGCATCCTGTTTCCATTGATCATCCTTGAAATGTTTTTACAATTTGATTGGAGTCCACCTGTGGTAAATTCAATTGATTGGACATGATTTGGAAAGGCACAGACCTGTCTATATAAGGTCCCACAGTTGACAGTGCAAAAACCAAGCCATGAGGTCAAACAAATTATCCGTAGATCTCTGAGACAGGATTGTGTCAAGGCACAGATCTGGGGAAGGGTACCAAAAAATGTCTGCAGCATTGAAGGTCCCCAAGAACACATAATTGATGGCCTCCATCATTCTTAAATGGAAGAAGTTTGGAAACAACAATACTCTTCTTAGAGCTGGCCGCCCGGCATAACTGAGCAATCGGGGGAGAAGGGCCTTGGTCAGGGAGGTGACCAAGAACCTAATGGTCACTTTGACAGAGCTCCAGAGTTCCTCTGTGGAGATGGGAGAACCTTCCTGAAGGACAACCATCTCTGCAGCACTCCGCCAATCAGGCCTTTATGGTATAGTGGCCAGACGGACGCCACTCCTCAGTAAAAGGCACATGACAGCCCACTTGGAGTTTGCCAAAAGGCACCTAAAGGACTCTGACCATTTGAAACAAGATTATCTGGTCTGATGAAACCAAGATTGAACTCTTTGGCATGAATGCCAAGCGTCACGTCTGGAGGAAACCTGGCACCATCCTTATGGTGAAGCATGGTGGTGGCAGCATATTGCTGTGGGGATGTTTTTCAGTGGCAGGAACTGGGAGACAAGTCAGGATCGAGAAAGATCCTTGATGAAAACCTGCTCCAGAGTGCTCAGGACCTCAGACTGGGGCGGAGGTTCACCTTCCAACAGGACAATGACCCTAAGCACACAGCCAAGACAACGCAGGAGTGGCTTCGGGACAAGTCTCTAAATGTCCTTGAGTGGCCCAGCCAGAGCCTGGGCTTGAACCCGATCTGAAAATAGCTGTGCAGCGATGCTCCCCATCCAACATGACAGAGCATGTTGAATGGGAGAAACTCCCCAAATACAGGTGTGCCAAGCTTGTAGTGTCATCCTCAAGAAAGCTCGAGGCTGTGATCGCTGCCAAAGGTGCTTCAGAAAAGTACTGGATAAAGGGTCTGAATACTTATGTAAATGTAATATTCACTCAATATATCTCTCAGAATCTCCATTGAGAATGCCTTTTAGTCTTGGATCTGGGAAACTGGCCCATTATTTCCTACCTTTTTTAATACTCATTTGAAATTTGAAAGAGTAGCCAATCCAGGGAGAGACTGAAAATACATAATGCCGATGTCATCTTAACATAAACAAGCGTTTGAAAGGGTCACTGTTATGGTATTGCATTAACAGTAAATAAAAAAGAAAAGTACAAAACCTGAAGAAGTCTAATATTGTGTGCTCCTTGCAATTCAAATATGAGGAAGCTTGACGTTGTTTGTAAGGTAAGACAGAATGCCTATTAAAAGTGTGCCAGTTATCAGGTTATACAACATGCCTACAGTATGTGGTACTATGAGATCATTCTGTTAGAGACTTTCAGTGTGACTGTGTTGAGTGACAAGTTGTACTTTGTACTATTGCCTTCTGCATTCATATGTCAAATGATAAAATATGACATTTGTACCCTTTCTGTATTTGACATATCAGGCCAGAAGTGAAGAGAGCTGATAGCTTAGTGCCTGGGTATAACAACCCTTATTTCTGGTTGAAGATATTTTACATTACCTCCACCAGAGAACTTATGGGTTCGGCAGTAAAATATAAAACACGAGTTACAACAGGAAATATATGACTTGTAGTGAAGATATAATACAACTAAGCCTACAACAGGGACACACTATCTCATCAACTGAAATGGTGTCTGACTCCGCTTTTATTTCCATAGATACACATTGTGTCCTACCTACAGTACATCACC